GCCTGCCAATGCGGGGGACATGGGTTCGAGCCCTGGTCCGGGAAGATCCCACACGCCATGGAGCAACTAAGCCCGTGAGCCACAACTACTGAGCCTGCGTGCCTAGAGCCCGTGCTCCGCAACAAGAGAAGCCACCGCAATGAGAAGCCAAAGAGTAGCCCCCGCTCGCCGCAACTAGAGAAAGCCCGTGCGCAGCAACAAAGACCCAATGCAGCCGAAAATAAATAAATAAATTAATTAATTTATTAAAAAAAAAAGAAAGAAATTATGTAGGAGAAATCCAGCAAGGCAACAGGCAGAACACTGCTTAGGAATACTTAAAATATTTAAGATGATACACAAGATAAATTTGAGGACAAAATCCAAATAATGTAACAAAAAACCCGAACACTTTGTTGTTGTTATTGTCATGCCAAAGCATCATCTCTATATACTATCTATTTACAGCATTGTTTCAGATTATTTCTTCATCCCTACTGCCAACACTTCATTCAGGCCCTCTTCAGATAGGTCCAAAGTGACCTCATTATAGTCTATTTTTTCTAATCCAGTGCTTCCCAGACTTAATATGAATCACTCAGGGATCTTGCTGAAAACACACATTCTGATTCAGTAGGTAAAGGGTGGGGTCTGAAATTCTTCATTTCTAACAAGTTCCCCCAAGTAATACTGATGTAACCACACTTCGAATAACAAACAGCTAATTTATTCAACTTTTTTTTAAGGTGTACAATTTATTTAATGCATTTATATATTGCAAAATAATTACCATAGTGTTAATTAACACCTGCATCAAGTTACTGATTTCTTTTTTTAAATTAATTTTTAGTGGAGTATAGTTAGTTTACAATGTTGTGTTAAGTTTCTGCTGTACAGCAAAGTGAATCAGTTATACATATATACATATCCACTTTTTTAGATTCTTTTTTTTTTTTTTTGGCTGTGCCATGTGGCACGCAGGATCTTAGTTCCCTGACCAGGGATCGAACCCATGTCCCCTGCGTTGGGAGCACAGAGTCTTAACCACTGGACCACCAAGGAAGTCCCTCTTTTTTAAATTCTTAAAATACCACTTATTTCATGTCGCAGCCTCAGGAATCCACTCTAACTCAGTGAAGCACGTATAAAACATCTACGTTCAATTCTATGGGTTCAGAACTTCATTCTAGACCAATCTGGTCTTTCTTCTGCTATACTCATTCTACCCCATCTCTGCTCTGTTTTTGTTTTTGTTTTTTATATATAGTGAAGTAAGATTTCAATGAGTTTTGCTAAATGTATACACCTGTGTAACCAATATTCTCCTGAGAAGATGGACCATCACACCAACCCTGTGTGTTTTGACGTTAACTCTTCAAATACTCTTCCAACTTTCCACTGCCTTCCACCTTATCGTTTAAGACTTAACTGAAGCCCCTTCTTCAAAACACACCCCAAATTCACTCACATACCTCAATCTAAAGTACTACTAATTTTAAGACCCTAGCCATCACTGTCTCTTAACTAAAGCAGTGGGTTCCTCACGTCTCTCTACCCCTATTCTTATCCCCCTCCCCAATATATTATCCACAGAGTAGTCAGTGATATAAAATTATAAACCAAATCAGGTCACTCTCCTGCTTAAAACACTCCAATGGCTTACCGTCACACCTGCAATAAATCCAAATTCCTTTTCCTGTATTCCTGTATCACTAAGCCCTCCTACTCTGACCTCATCTCTTGTTATCTTCCCATTATTTTCAATGCTCTGGTCATATGAACCTTTTTTTCTGGTCCTACAACACAGTGAGACTTGCCTACTTTAGGGACTCTGCATTAATTATTCCCTCTATTCTCCCCGCCACTCTCCCCTCTTCTGCCATTTCTATGACTGGCTACTTTTTGCTATTCAGATCTCAACTTCAAAGTTACCTCTCACAGAAGCCTTCTCTAACCACAAAAATCTAAAGTATCCACTCAGTCACTTTCTAACACAAATCCGACTTTAATTTCTGCATAGCAGTCATTATTGGTATGTATCTTATTAATGTGCTTATCATCTGTCTATTCTCACAAGAACATAAGCTCCGTGACTAAGGAACTTGCCCACAGTGTTCACTGCTGTAACTCCAGTGCCTAGAACAGTGTTCAGCTCATTAAAAGTGGATGCTAACCAAATGTTTGCTAAATAAATATATATGTTCACACTATGCAGATGGAAATTGTGCCTGTGTCCCAATACAGAATCTCCCATGAAATTCAAAGAGAGTAAGAAAGATACAGCTAGTCATCCAATAAGGTAAATCCTTCATAAGAAAGAAACGGAAGAACTGCAGCTTTAATTTGAGGCAAAAATAATATAAAACACAGATTAAGCCAAAGCTTAGTTCACATAAAGTTTAATCAGTCAAGTTAATGAAAATATCAAAATTTTTGAGTTAGTGTATGGCAGAAGAAATTTAATTTTGTTGCAAATAATACAGTATTTGGTGTTTCCATTCTGGACAAGCTAAGCTGCAGAAAGAGCAATGGCATTGAATCTCAGTTCATCAGGGTCACGTTCCATAAACTTCTTGCAAACTTCTATGGCATCCTATAGGGAAAAAAGATACATACACAATCTTTCCATTTAAAAACGTGTTTTACTTAAAACTGATAAATAAATGTTTCACGTTTTCCTAATCCATACTAATTTTATACTGCAGACTTCTTTTCTCAAATAAAAAATAACTTAAAGGACACTAGAAGAGTGAATGGCTGGTGGTTTAATTTGATTAGTACAAAAGTATAAGATCCGCTAAGTGTTCTTTCTTAAAATGCTTTTAAGAAACTTTTAACATGAAAATTACATATTTTATTGATTCTAAGCCATAAAATTTGTTCGTAAATTTAAAAATCTCTAAGATCAAGATATAAATTATGGTATCTTGGACTTAATGAAATATGGGATATGATGTGCATCTCTTTCAATACTATTCTTGTCTTTTTCAAATTTGATACTTGTTCACACAAAGAGCTCTGCAAACCTCTTTATTTGCTGTAGATTTTTAAAGCTAGTTCAAATTTTTCTTTTTGGATTTTCTCAAGAGAGCCAGGATATAGAGAAATACAGAAAAATGTTATACCAGTTATCTTTTATTTATTTTTGCCATGCCACGTGGCATGCGGGATCTTAATTCCCTGACCAGGGATCGAACCTGTGCCCCCTGCAGTGGAAGTGTGGAGTCTTAACCACTGGACTGCCAGGGAAGTCCTATACCAGTTATCTTTAGAGATGTTTTAAAGATAACAAGAACATTAATGACACTGAAGATGGGCCAAAAAGTTTTATTCTTACCTCTAATAAAGTTTCATCACTAGTTTCCCCATGGTTAATTGGAAATGGTTTCCGTCCATCTGTGGAAAATAGATGAACAGGTGAATGGTTAGTTGTTTGTATAGGATAATGTACTTTCTTTCTTTTTAATACTATAAACAATTAACAACATGTATTTCACGTACAAATTTTTCCAATTCACCCAGAAATATCCTTTATCCATGTTGTTTTGTTTTATGTGGGATCTAATCAAGAATCACATATTCTATTTAGTTATCCTATCTCTTTAGTCCTCCTTAATTAAGAATGACAGGATAATGTACTTTCAACTTCCATTTTCCTCTTCCCACAGTGAGGCAAAAGTTAAAAGATAAAATAATATATCCTAAAACAAACACCTTAAGTATGCTACTACGAATATTTTTAACACTAATAGTTATTTAGAACCTTGCTTCCCTGTTTGAAAGCCTATATTATCTTCATAAACAGACATTATTAGAAATATATACTATTGGCTTTAATTTCCTAAAAAGAATATGCAAAATTAATGTCAGCTTTTCAAAAGTTATGACCATCAGAAATATAAAAAATTTCTTTCTTCACTTTAAAGCCTTCTAATGAAGGCTCCTAAGACTGACATGTTTATACCAATGAAAGGAAGCCACTTCAAGGTTTATATATTACTACTACTAATTGTGTACCAAGGTAGGAGTATAGAGCAACAATCTAAATAACCTAGGATTATTTTGCTGACCACCAAAAGTAATCAGTATCACCTTGAATAAACTAGTACTTTTACAATACTATAAAAACGAAAAAGTCGAGAATTATATAAACCCCTGCTAACCCAAAGTTAACTGATACTCTCTATACAAGCCTATAATTTCAGATGTTTTATAAGTGGCACATCAAGTTCAAGCCATAAAACACAATTCCCTCTATAATTTCATGGCTTCTAAACATAATAAAAAGTTTTGAATCAATATGTATACATAGTGATAGACCTGGACTAAAAGATACTACTTTTAAAGAAAATATGAGTGAAAATTAACCAAACCAGAAAGCAAAACAGGACAATTATGAAATCTGGAGAAATAAAAAAGTTGAAAAGTACATTGACTATGGCTCATCTGAGAATAGTATTTCTGTAGTCATAAGAGTATAAACAACTATAACAACACTGGAAGAACAGGAAAAAGTAAACCATGTATTTTGTGATTGGGAGGGAGAGGTAGGTAAAGAGGGTGACAAAGGAAAGCTAGATTATCTTCATTGTGGGAAGCCAAGGAGTAACATTAGGTAACTTCCACCTCTAGCCAGAATGAAATAATGTACTGGACTAGGCCTTCCACTGGAAACAACTAAAGAAGTGGACAAAATATCTGAAACCACTGTTTTATAGATTGGGAAACAGGTAGCCCAGAACTGTTAGTAAGCCTAATAGTAATATCCACTATCTGCCAGTGCCAGAAAGAAAAACCCAAGCAGCCTACAGCAGCCTCAATTAGGAGACTGAGGGGAAAGAGAGCAGAGTTCAAGGAGGCTGAGGCAGTTGGAGTTTGCACAATGCCAGGAAGAAGATAGCTACACACTTTGGCGAGCTGTTGCTCTTTGTTTGGGACCAGGCCAGGATCAGTGGGCCAGCTGGGGGCGGGAAGCAATGTGTCTGGAACAGAGCTTTGGGCTGGGGTGGTCAAGAGCTTGTTTATATACCAGGGGAATGCGTAAATCGGAAAAGAAATGAAGGATAATGAGAGCTAGATTTCCCATGCTCAGAAAAGGAAGTCACAAATATGGATGACACTAGAATAAACTGTATAATATTAGGTTAGAATTATAAATGTGGATGTAAATAAATGCTTTTTAATATATAGAGAAACATATAATTGTGTGTGCATGTATATCCATATTCACATACATGTGTCTATGTATATAATACATACAAATATTTCCTAGCTCTGTCCTCTGAGAAAGCCTAGAAATAATGATATCTTAATAGCAATGAACACACTTAGCACCCAGGTCTTGGTTCTAATCATCATTTTCCAATAAAAGGAACCCGGGCTCCTTGGAGAAGTGGCTGAACACAGGGCTGGGGCATGGAAAACAAAGGATGAACCAGGAAATGTTTTTCTACTAGAAAGTTAGAAAGTGCTCCAAAGAATGACAGGGACATATGCCAAGAACTACATGAAGCCCTAAGGACAAGAGGTGATAATAGAAAGATGAATAACTCAGTCCCTTTCATCAGCTAACCTTACAATTAGGTATAGAATGAATACATTAAAAACTACCACTATCATTTGTTATACAATTGTCCTGTAGAAATTACCTTGCACCACGTCTATAATCATATAGCCTTGTTTTTTAAAATAAGGATATTTAGAAATGACTTTTTTTTTTTTTTTTTTTTTTTTTTTTTTGCAGTATGCGGGCCTCTCACTGCTGTGGCCTCTCCCGCTGCGGAGCACAGGCTCCGGACACGCCATGGCTCACGGGCCCAGCCGCTCCGCGCGGCGTGTGGGATCCTTCCGGACCAGGGCACGAACCCGTGTGCCCTGCATCGGCAGGTGGACTCTCAACCACTGTGCCATCAGGGAAGCCCAGAAATGACTTTTTTCTTAAAAACCGTATGCTGCTCTCTTACCCACTGTTTTCTATGCACTAACTCAATACTCCTCTTGCTCAACATTCCTTTTAACTTTATTAGGAATTTGCGTCAGGGCTACCACCAATTCCCCTTGCAAAGAGTCAGCAGCTGCCCATCTTCATTTGTCTTGCATTCATCCCTGTCCTCTCTAACATCTCAAAGATTCCAGCTATTCTTTAGAACTCTGAAATTCTTTAAACTCATTTAGAGAATGTAATCCTCAAAGGGCTCTAATTCTCTATCAGCAACATCGATCATTCTTCCTGCTAAAGAATACTTGAACCAAACAAGACCTCAGTAGTTCTGCCTTTCTTTTCTGATGTTCTTAGTTCAAACCAATTTTAAAATACTTTGGTGTTGATCTCGGCATGCTACAAAACAGAGCCATTCTGCATATGTAGCTTATCCCTGATACACATCTTTCCTTCTACTGCCCTTTTAGTCTCTGAGCTCAGAAAGCTGGCTAATCAGTCAAACTGAGGTTTTTAGACAACTCATTCCTTCCCATGAGATGATCAGAGATGTTTTTCTTCTGAATATCTTTTAAATGTTATTGTTTGCTCTATTATGAAGTCTCCCATTCTGAAAGTCACCATTACTTTTATAGTCTCTGGTTATGGATCATATTTATCACTCCTCTGGCCTTTCCTAAATCTACTTTCTTGAAGTCAACAGAATGTGTCTGTAAGTCTCAGCACACTCTTTACTTCCACTTCTACTAGTTACTCTTTATTATTTAGAATTCAGAGCAGAAACTAGCTTCCAGCAATCAGAGATTTGAAATCCCCAATCCCTATTACATTTTATCTTTATGTAGATTCTAGAGACTGAATTAGCAAAGCATATGTTCCAAATTGCTCTGCAGGTCTGTTATATACTCCGATAACAACTATTTGATTCCTACTCAAATCACTCTACTATTGTAGATGACCCACAGGGATGTACATTCCTTTTCCTGTCCCCTTTAATAGAGACATTTCTTTTTAATGAAGTGTATGATTCTGTTGCCATATTCCAAATATAAAATCTATCTAAATTTTATGGACCACATTTACAGTCACAATCAGAATCCTTTTGGAACTCTTCAGTCTTTAAGTAAGTTAAGGAAAATGAAAGTGAAAAGTTAATATTTACAGCAAATGAGAAGAAAGAGAACTAAAAATCATGGTATCTAGAAATTGAAAAGGATTTCACTTTTTTGTTTCTTTATTCGGCCTTTTTTAATCAAAGAAGGTCTCAGAGAGAAAGACAAAAAGGACTCATAAGTACTATCTACCAATTTTGAAAGAATCATAAAAGTTTCTTCTGCCTGAATGAATCAATTTAAACTATCCTCGAGTTATTATCCTCTAAAATTATCCTCTAATTATCCTTTAATTATCAATGAAAATATCCTCTCCTCCAAATACAAACTAAAGTAGTCCACCTATAGTTAAACTTTTAAAAGGTAAGTGCAGGAATAGGCCAAAATACCAAGTAATTAATCATGGCTACTTTGACACATGCCTTAGGGAACTGTTGCCAGAAAACATAGACTCCTGTAAAGTCTTTTTAAAAATCAGATGTGATACAAAGGGATAGTACAAAAGCCTGAAAACTAGTAATACTCATTATTGAATACAAAAACTAGTCGTTATGAGTAATACACTATGTTTTAAAACTAGTTTCAGGATCAAGATGGTTCATCCAAGATGTTGATGATAACCAACTCAAAAATTTAGTAAAGACTGCTGAAGTGATTTACAGGAGTTTCCTAAATGATTTAGCAAAGCATTTTCCTGTTTTGCTAAAATGCAAAGGTGGTATGCAGGAATTCTTGAATTATAAGTTACTTGAACATCAAAAACATATTTATTTTTTCTAGTAAAAATTTTTAAATGGAAAACTTCCATTATGCCAACTCAATGTTATATGGTAATCAATTAATTTAGGTAAACACAATAAATATCAACAGTCATGTTTATCATAAATACAGATTTCCCCATTTACTATTTCTTTCCCCAGGATAAATTAAAATAGTTCTTACCTAATTCATAGAGATGCCCATCTACATGAACTAATGCAATAAAATGAAGATCTACTTTTTCATCTATATTTGGTGCCTGGAATAGGAGGGGAAAATACATATTATATATATTAGTAGTCAAACAAATCAATCAACTACATGTAAACACATACAAATAATATCAAATGACATGAAAAAATATTTATCCAATATAATTCAAGGCTTAATCTTTGATATAGTGGACAGAGTGAACATGCCTACATTTATAACAAATGTGCTTGCCCATCAACAAGGAAAACACTGACTCAAGGCACACCTTTCTTAATCTCAACTGATTTTAACCTAAAGTTTTGTTCACTCTGGAAGCCCAGCACCTAGCACAACACCTGGTACATAGTAGGTATACAGTGTATACTTGTTGAATGAAATGAATGCATGAACTAATTTGTCTAATTTCTGAAATTTGAAATAATAAAGTTTTTAGAAGTTTAATAATAGCATAAACAGAGTTTAAAAAAACTCTTTGCAAGTTAAATTTTAGGACATCAAGAAAGTGAGTTCTTCCCTTAATGATGTAACCTTAATCTCATTTTTTGAAAAATGCAATATAGACTTAGAATAAAATAAGTATTTTCATTCATCCTAGATTCAAAAGGTTTAAAAACGAAGAGAAGGGCTTCCCTGGTGACGCAGTGGTTGAGAGTCCACCTGCCGATGCAGGGGACATGGGTTCGTGCCCCAGTCCGGGAAGATCTCACATGCTAGGCCCATGAGCCATGGCCGCTGAGCCTGCGTGTCCGGAGCCTGCGCTCCGCAGCGGGAAAGGCCACAGCAGTGAGAAGCCCACGTACCGCAAAAAATTAAAAAATTAAAAAAAAAAAAAAAAAAAAAGAAACGAAGAGAAGCAGGAAAATAGCCCAAAAGATTAAAGGAGAAAAAGGGAAAATGAACAAGTTAAAGTAAAATTTAACTTAGCCTACAATTTTTCTCTTGTTTTCTCAGTGAACTATTTGATATTAAAACTATACCTAGGTTTTTATAGCTTGCCAAATTCAATTTGCATGAGCAACTTGTGCTACATTTCTTAGACATTCAAATAACTTATGCAAGTCAATACATGATGAACTAGCGCTGTTTACAATATATAGTAACTACACAGATAACACTAATATGTGTTAGCTATATACCAAATCTAAATGGTCTGAAATGAAATATTATCCCTGTTAAACGTAAGTACAAATTTTAGAGGCAAAAGTTTTAAAGAGGCATAATCAAGTTATATCTCATATTATTTAATATCCAGTAACACAACAGTATTAACTCTAAAATTTCTATTTTTTCACCCTCAAGTAATTATATAATTTTAAGTGTTAAGTAATACGAAGTTTTCAGATGCAGAAATTGAAAGGAACAGAACAAACATTACTATCTTGGATTTACTGGATGCCTCTAAAGCATTTACAGATAGTGACTCATCTAACCTCGTATTATTCTTCAGGGATTATTGCCCTCGAATTACGAATGGGAACAATGCAACGTAAATTGCTGTGGCAAACTAGCTCTTCCTAAAATTCAACTTAGAACTAAAGAATTTCATAGAATTATCCCTCATACTGAGGCAAAAAATGTTTCCCAATATTTTCCATCTTAAAAAAGTCTAATCCCTCTTGAACATGATATTTCTTCAAACACTTAAAGACAGTGATAATGAGTTCCCTTATTTTACTGGTCAGAGAATCAAAGATTTTAGTGATCACTCAATCCAATACCCCCATTTCACCAATGACCAGAGAGAACCCAATTTTTCAAGGTTAAATCTAGGCAATTCAACAAACTATAAATTCAATTCTATAACAAGAACACTACAAAAAATTCCTTATCCAAATAGGAAAGGGGCTTGATTTACTTATTTTAAGATAATTCTCCAATAGGATATAAAGTATATTTAAAATCTTTTGAGCTACTATGTCTTTAAAATTATTACTTATTTTAACACCATCTCTTCTTAAGAATAATACCTCTAATAGCTTCTGGTTTTTACATTTTGTCAGTAAATACAACCATGCTAGAGATAAAAGTAATACAACCAGAACCAGAGACCTGAATATGTACCCAACCTCTGTGAGCACTGGGTTTCTTATCTGTTTTGAGGTTTAAACGAAATGCATGAAACTACTTTGTAAACTGTTAAGTGCCATATAAACATTATGTGTTATTACAATACTAAGACTACATTATTACAAATGTAAGAAGTCACTAAATCTAGTGACTCAAAATTGTGAGTCATTGTACCTTTTATCCAAAAGTGCATACTAAAAATACAAAACGCCAAAGAGGGCATGAAAAGCCTTCAAACTACTATAAAAGATAAATGCTCAAAATTTCTATACCTTCCACAAGACCTCAGCACCTATTACAAGCCTTTTCCTTTTGTCAACTTCAATTAGTCAGAGTCTGAAATCTATAATTATCCAATTGCTTAAACATTATTCCACTGAAAACAAGAACAATACATAAGAAGCAAATTCCAATAAGTCTTCTGTTTCAAAAAATGACCAATAACTAACAAAAGGCAAAAACCAGAAGCTACAGATTAGATAATTTTTACCTACATTTTTATATCTTATTTTTTACAAAGTTTCTTAATTTAGAACATACTTCTTACTACCTTGAAGAATTAAAAGAATGATGTGACAAATCAATTAGATAGAAATTAACTAAATGCTAAATAAAAATGTCAAATTATAAAAAATAGTTTAAATTTAATTTATAATTGTGGCACTAAATATAACCAGGCATTGTTCTAAGTGCTTTATAAGAATTGACCAATTAATTGTCATATAAACCATATGAGGTAGGTCATATAGTTATACCCATTGTACTCTCAAGAAAATTGAGGCACAGAAGTGCTAAGTAACATGCTCTGGGTCACAAAGCTAGTAAGTGATAGAATCTGGTTTCAAATCCAGGCAATGTCATTCTAGAATCCACGTTCTTAACCATTAGGCTATAAAAACACTTATGAAGCTATAAAGCAATGGAATTAACATGGGGAAAAGATCAATAATACATAAAAACATAAAACTGAGAATGCCAATTTTTATGACATGTTCATTTATATTTAGAGTATTTTTTAAGTACAAAGGAATTTATTCCTATTTGGAATCAACTGTGCCCAAGTCAGAATTTAGAAAATTAGGGTTTTACTCTGATCATCTAATTCACTTGTATCTCCTACTGTGCCAGCGTATGGCACAGTAGGGAAGCAATAAATATCAGATGGATAAATAAATATGACAAATGCATGTTGTGACCCAATGAGGATAATGAAATAGAGAGACACCAGTTTGTTGATACCAGTTTGTTGACGAAAGGCTATTTTGATGACTATACTGATATTTGGTGGAAGCAGATGTTTAAGGAAAAGTGCCAAGACTCCACCTCATAGTTTGAGAATAGCTCTAGAAGAGTAAATAAGGGGAAGGAAAGAATGTCTGACACCAACTTTTAATTTTTTTAAGCATGAAAGTATGTGTAATCAGACTTCCTCTGGCTTCAAAAGTCACGATGATTTAGTGAAGTGTCAAGTTTCTTATAAATGTGTGGCATACACCAAATCTTTCAGACGTAGCATTTCTAGGTAGGCTCTGCCAAGCTATGGTCATTACCATTAATTTTCTAAAACATCAGAAAGACAAGAACTATAGTTGCCATCCTGCATCTTATTTCAATTATGAGAATTATTAGAATTCCATCATCAACCTCAACATTTAAGGTAATTAGCACGATTACAAGAACAAATGTACTTTTTAACAGTTTGCTAATATTATCAACTTAAGAAGGAGAAATTATAAAATTTGTGTGAAGTCTACAACAATTCACAAGGAGAAAAATCGTCACTTCCTACTTGAGAAAAGATCTTTAGAAACTGAATAGGCAGGGAAGATTGGATCAAGATTAAACCAAGTACCTGAGCCACCTCAGGGAATAAAATAGCTTAGATGAAACACCCTACACCACGGAGGCTTAGATTAAGGATAGAGTAAGTAAAATAACCCCAAAGCATGACAAGAGACTAAAGTCATGTTCAGAAACATGAAAAAAAAATAAAGTAAGAGATGGCAAAGAACTCAGACGGTACACAGCATTTGTTGACCTGAGTCAACTAAATGAAATTGGAAAGATGAAGGGTAAGAGAATACATATTCACTTTAACAACTGACAGGAACTTAAACATTATCATGAATGTCGATCAGCACTCATCAAAAGGCAGGGACCTGTTGGCGTTATATGGAGTGGAAAGATGGATGTTCACCAAGGCACTGGTGAGAGTCAAGCTGGACTGCAAAACATAGAGGTATGTTTGCAGTCTTACTGAGGGAGAAAAAGCTAATGGTTGATGAACCAAGAGAAAAGTGCTTTGAAGACTGAAGAATTTTAAGGGAAAAAATGGACTGCCCCTGTCACTGGAAGAAGAGATGGAAGATTGACTACACTTACAACAGAATGGAGACCCAAAGATGGTAGGCGTAAGAAGGGTCGCCAGCGACGAAGACGGAGAGATGGACTGGTAGCCTTTGCAGGGCCTACATGGTTACGTTTGGCCCAGGGCAGGGATGCATGGTGACACCATGATGAGGCCTTCGCTCTGCAGTGGCTAGAATGAGGCTGTGATGAGGATGGCGAAGAGGACTACATAATTAAAAAAGAGAACATTTTACTGAGACCACGTTACTGGGAGATCAGTTATTCTTAAAAGCACTGTATGGTCAAACTTGGATTTATATGGTCTAGTATTTTTAATCAATCACAATTTAGAAAAGGATCATAAATGAGTATTAGTTAAAGGTACGTGAAGTGGAAATACATAACCAAAGTATCAGGTTATATTCCATAGCTTCTGTTAAGTGCACATCTAAACTATCCTCATTTGTATAGCGCAGACTCATGGAATTATTTAAAAGTCACTAAAGTGGAATTATTACATCAAACTGTTTAAAAAAAAAAGAACATACACACACACAAAACACGTAACACATACAAAACATACAAAGAATTATGTGTAAAAGAAAACTGTATGGTAACAGGCACTAGTAA